ATAACTGACTGTTGGCATATTTTCATTGCACCAGTTGATAACTGGAGTGTGCACATTTCCAGTTGCACCAGTTGATGGCTGAGCGTTGGCATATTTCGAGTTGACCCAGCTGACACCAATTCATTTGCATATTGAATATGGGGTGCGTGCAGATCTATGTTTTTTAAACAATTTATCTGAATTTACAGCATATTTCTTAATTACTGATGATTTAGTTATATGCAATTCATTTCGAAAATACTACAAATATAAATTACCAGTTATTAGGACATTTCGCTACTTCGTATAAATAGTTAAACATGAATAAGGGAAACATTAACTGTGAACTAAAATAATTTCAATAAAGTACAAGTACACGAATTTTTTTCGATTAATTCAATTATGTAAGTCTACTTATTACCAATGCCCTTACATTGGAAATACAGACGTACCAGTATTGAAGTATTGTTGCTGTTTAACTGGTTGGAAGTTTTACCAAATGGTTCTAATGGCTCAGCTAGACCAGTTGAATTATAACTGGCCTGGATCAACTGGATCATTTAGCCCATTTCAATTTCCAGGGTTACCAGTTGGTATTAAAAATGGTTCATCAACTGGACCAGTTGCAACTAGCTTTCTCTTTTGGGATGTTTGCACCCCCCCCCCCCCCACCCAACCCCCTCTAATCCCAAACTGCTTCCGGCGCGCCTGGACGTAATTATGGAAGATCCCAGACACGATGTTCAGAAACGGGATGAGAACGTCATTATTTTGGTTCATTTATTGTGTAACATTTGCGTAATTATTGGGTTGAACGCGGGTTACAGTAACATACTTCCTCTTCGACGTAAATTTCACGTGAATGAAGAACATGATTCATCTCAAGTCAGCCTCGTAATATTCACGTGAATTTCACGCAGATATTTTGACTAAAACTATTATTAACGCTTTACGTGTTTCTGTGACGCGATAATTTCGTGTATGAAGATGTAATTTCATAACGAAACAAACACGGGAGTATTAGGTTTACAAACCATGGTCTCCAAGGTAGGGATAATCACGTTATTATAATGGTGATATTGCAGTGACAATTGCGTGATTTAGTGTACGTGTGTTTTAAGTTACCTAATGCAATAAACGTATTAACACATTTACGTAAATGTACGGTGTTTGAAGAACGTAACTCTCCTCAAGTCGATACCTTGATATTGACGTGATTTTCACGTGATTTTGTTTATTGGGTAAACAGGGTCTTTAGCTAACCTAAATGGCAATGAACTTTCCCGCCAAGAAGGCAATAGGTCAAGATCGTCTGCGGAGTGATATGGAATAACTTTTGTGACAGACGATTGCAATATGATGACTGTTGATTTGAAGAGACACTCGTCGTAAACATTTTATCTAGCGACTGTTCCTGAACAGAAATATGTGTTGTAGTTATTTCACATGGAAAGAGTTTAGCTTCAAAACATGTTACATCCGGACATCTAGGTTCTTGGAAAAACATGTTTCAAACACGCTAATTTCCTTTACAAATCTGTGGATGAAGCATATTTTTGGAAATAAATTTGTGGTCAGCTGTTTAGTGTACACACTGCACAGAATGCAGTAAACTATAGCTTCAATGTACGTCAGGGAATGATTATTCACTTTTGTCATGTTGCTCTGTGATTTGCTAGTTCATGGGGAATATTCGGTTATGTGCATTTTGACCATATTAATGACATGACATTGATGCAGGACCTTTTGCATCAAACTCAGTCCTTAAATGTTACCTTAAAATACCTTTGAAACTATAGATTCCTTTTTTGTATATTACTTGATATAGCATGATTTGAAAACTGAACGAATTCTTGAAGTGTGTTTGATTGTTTCAATATGCGAGTCAGGACGTACAATATCTTTTTCTTCAGTCATTATTATTTGTAGTTTTAAAAAGTATCTGAAACAACTATATGAATAAGATTATTTTCTTTTATGAAATATATATATACACCTGTTATACAAATATTCGGAGCACACATTGTTGAAATACATTTAGATAGAGGGAGAGAGAGAGAGAGAGAGAGAATGCGGAGAAAATGTGATCAGTCCAACCCTTCGCTTCTTGAAAATTGTTGGAAGATATCCAGTAAACGACTATTAATCACCAAATCGTAATTTACTTTAAAGTGTTGAAAATTAGCACCAAGTCGTGTTTATCACGTACCACTAATTACTGATACAAATGAAAGGAAACAGCGCGCTCATATTCTAAATTCAATTACGCATGAAATAATAAGTTGACTTGACAAACTCACTGTCTTTCTCTCTTTCTTTACAAATTAATGGTGCATGTTGACAGCTTATGTTAAATTACTTTCAACATGATTGATTTATTACACTACGCTAAAATCTATTCGAAAAATGAAAGTGTTATTATATTCTCTCTCTCCCTCTCTCTCTCTCTATCTGTATCTCTCTCTCTCTCATTTATTTTCACCAAAAGTAGCCCTTCTTTTTAAGCCGTTGATTGGAATACATGACTATATTTTTTATTGTAACATTATTAAAAGTATTCAAAATGTTATTTTCATATGAGGACACGATGAAAAATAAAACGGTAACCACAGTTTTCAAAATAATGATCAAGAAAATTGTTTCCGCCCGGGTTCGAACCGGGGACCTTGCGCGTGTGAGGCGCACGTGATAACCACTACACTACAGAAACCTGACATGCTGCGAATTTTATTATCAGAGTCAGAACATATTTTGTTTTTAATACGGACCAATATACAAGGGCCATGATGTTAATATACATACTCATTTATGTTGATAGACGTCCTCTACCCTACGGTTTAAAGATAAACTCCAGTTCTGGTAAAAAAAAAAATAATAATAATAATAATTCTCACAGAATCAAACGAAACTTACACTGAATGTTCAAGATTACAAATAAATGTAATTTGCCAAACAATTTTGGTTGAAAATGTATACTGGCGGAGTAATGAGCATAGAAAGATAAGGAAATCAAGGTTAGTAGCCCAGACACCATTTTGTGTAGTCCCATATGCATCTTTCTGTACACAGTGCTTGTTACTTTACCAAGACTGGGCCAAATTTATTATGATTTTGATGACCCCAGAACCTTGCAGTACACACCAATACTTGCATGCTACATGATCAACTTTTTCTAATCCATTCCACACCTTTTCTTTCACAAACAAATCGCACGACCAGAACTCAACTTTATCTTTAACTTCCTAGCTCTCTACCCTACGGTTTAGTATGTCCCCAACTCCGCATTGTAGATCTTGTGGAATGGTATCTGTTTAAAGGTACTATGTCCCTTTTGCAGCCAACCTCAAATGCTGTAGAACTTTGCAGGAATTATAAATATGTCATGTATGTCCTCTCTGTGAAATTTAAACGTTAGCAGTGTCCTCATATTCAAATTATGCAAGGAAACCCGTTTACTTGCTAGACTTCACTGTCAGACCCTATTGAGTGACTGACTGGCTTTTTTTCTTCTTTGGTAATAACATACATGAAAAGAGTTGTAAAGGGTACATGAGCATTTGTCTACATCAATAACCCACTTCTTGTGATGGCCAAGATTAAACTGATTGAATCTTTGCGCAGCATAAAACGTATGACCATTCGGTACAATTGTCTGAAAATCAAGACTATTACTTTTGGGCTCTATAGCCCTAAAGTCGATTTGACATCTAATAGTCATTATTTTCCCACTTGAAGACATTTTCAAGCCCCACCTTTTTTAGGGAAGTTCTAAATTAGTATTATATTTATTTAAAATGCAGTTGGAATTGAACTTTTTTTTTTTTTTTGGCCTGCAAATGGGACATAGTACCTTTAACCATTCTAAAATACAGCAGATGTTAGTTTATTTTTAGCTTTAAAATGTCTAGAACTGTACTTCATAAAAATGTACTGCAAACAAATAACATTGAAGAAAAAGGAAAGAAATTACCACATTGTTAGGCTTTGTGATATAAAATTAATTATTTCTGGAAGATCAACGTTACCCTTATTATACTGGCCCCTGGATCTCCAAGTCTTCTTGATATTTCTCGCGTATTGTTGTTGCTCTAGTTCATTATCCTTCTTCCTCTAGGTAACCACTATTCCACCTGTCGTCTCGACCCAATGAAGCTAACCATGACGAGTCCGAGAAAGGGAAAAGTTGTCAAATTAATCACATAAAGTGTCGGAAATTGGTGTCTCCCAGCATTCGTAAAAGTCATTCATTTCCTTATTATTTGGTGAGACAAAACACAGCCTGATCAGGTGACCCTCAATACCACGTGACCTAGGAGTAGCTGTGGCGTGATAACTGTGTCGGAGATGTCTTTCCTCTCACAACATAACTTCAATGTGTTAGGGTGCCTTCAGTGCTCTACCAAGAGCATGCGAATATATAGACTTCATAATATCAAATCAATCAAGTTCATATTTGTCTCATATTGTCAAAATACCCCAAACTATTGTAGGAAAGTTCGATAAATTCCGTATTTTATATTGTGTTTATTGTTTCAAGTTAACTTTAAAACACCTAACCCTATATCCTGTTCCAAAGCATTAAAATTGAAGTAACAGAGCTTTGTTGCCCAAACTAAGTTTATGCACCGGTTAATGCGGCTGATGATTGATGATGATGATTGAGTCATGGTCAAATTATCGCTAGAAGTTTGTGATTCAAAATAAGGTTTACCAGTTGATACGATTCGTTTTTCTTGCATATATCTCAGTAGGCAGTTTTCCGCTTACAAAAAGAAACATTCGTGGCATGAAACTCATGGTAAAGCCGCCTCTTCACTTTGGTATTTACATTATCATCACATAACTTCACAGAGGATGAACCATGACAAACATTTTCTCCCTTTAGAAAACAAACATCTTTCTTTATGTGGGTTTGAATCTTACCAAGGCTGATTTATATGGTGTATGTATGGACAAAACCGATGATTTGTATGGATTTGTTTTTATTTTCAGCGAACTCTTTCATGTTTTATGTTTTACAGAGGCTCGAAGAAAATGCGGTCCAGGAGAAATTTCACCCGATGGTTTCGAGCCATGTAGAGGTAAGTATTTTCTAGAATGCAATGATTTTTTTTATTTTGTGTAAAATAATATTCTAGGAATCGAATAAAGATCATGCTATAGGAGATACCAATATTGCTATAGACGATTATAGAGCATTGTTGTTACTCTTACTGTAGTGAGAGGTTCATAGGCTTGCTCATATCCTTTCAAAGAAATTTGTCTACAATGATAATGGTCTCTCATATAATACCGAACTTCTTCTGGAGCTAGAAGTCGTTGGTACATGTATAATGTTTGGACATCATAGACGTGCATAACCATATACAAAGTCACAAAAAGAGTACATAATTATATGGATACGTAATAGAGCAAATAGAACAATGTTTTGTCTCGTAAGGGTTTATATTTATAAATTTAGTTTGTAATTCAGTCTAACTAAAAGATTTTTATTTGTCTTCGAGTAAGACCTGGTCCGTTATAATTTTTTCGAAAATAAACATTTTAAAAACTACATTTATGATGGCAACCCTGTATCTCATGACAAAAACTGCAACGTGAATCTCATGCTCAAATGTTCATTGGGTTCGCTACCATGTCACATACATTGTGTCTTTAATTCTCTTTGATTCTTGGGACTATCAGGATCAATTTGAATCATTTAACTTTTCTTGCTAAAATGCGACTGCGTAATGTCATCTATTGATTTATCAAGGGATGTATTTAAAATCATGGATACACGAATTTCTTTATAAATGACAACTTACTTCCATCAGACATACTACATGTAAAGAATTGGAGCCAAGAATATTTTAAAGATCTGATCTGGCTTGTGTACCATATCCGCTATCGTTTGGCGCATAGTCATGTGACATATTATTTGCCTCCTATTGGTGCGTTTTAAATAATGGATATCGTAGAGGATCTTGCCTGCAGCTTGGAATCCTGTCCCATTTACTCCGTACTATTACCCTTTGTGACGTAAAGGGAGACAACTCTTACGGAGTACGGTAGGTCATATATTGATAATGGGTCATGTAAATTATCACGATGCTTGAATTTAGGGCGTTATTTCAAGCTAAATGTCCTTAACATTTCTTCACTATGAAGAGAAATGTATGCAGGAAGAAATTTGTTCACAACGCTTTGGGTGGGATGATTTCGATCTGCAGAATCCATTTGAGAGCAATTACATCAATTGTTACGTCTAAAACGATTGATGCCAAGGAAAAAAAGATACGAGAGTGATTCAAATGTTTGAAGGGATTCTAGAATTGGCAGGAATCGGTATAAGTGAAAAGCAAAGTCTCAAGGAAAGGGAAATCTTAGAATTACTGACTTTAAAAGGATGTTTTGATACGGGATTAGAGAGGAAAGTGGTATGTATTGTTCCCTGGTTACAATCCGTCATCTGTTGGTCTACCAAATCATTATCCCTTGTGCTCTTTCATTGACTTTATCGTTCCTTTTTATTAAATCCTTTGTTGAGCAAACCGAGCATCTCGATAAGCAGGAGTCGGTCTAGTAGAAACTATAGAAAATCGTTGTATAATTCTATATCAGTAGATATAGGTTGTCTTATGAATCATCCCACAGGTCTTTCTCTCTCTATCTCTCTCTCTCTCTCTCTCTCTCTTTCTCTTCCTTTTGCCTCTCTGTATCTATCCCCTTAAATCTTAAATCACACTTTCGCCAGTCCGTGTGTGCTTCTAGTACTCATTTCATTTCAATCCATTATATAGGCAGCCAGCATTTTGTTGATTTATTCACCTTATCATAGTCCAGTACAGTAAAAAATAGAGGTGCACATTTGGACCATGGACGACTCCTGACGAACTATAGGGTCCAAAAGTGGACTTCAATTGGTGACATTATATCACAAATAATCCTTTTCCCCCTTGATATAAAGTTCAATGAACCCAGTCAATAATATCCCAAAAATGTAGTAATTGGTTATTGAAAAATAACAATATTAAATCAATACTGAATACATGGCCGACATCAATATGCCAGACGTGATTATGTAATTGAATTAAACGTCTCCCACAAGGGAGTCTACAGCTAATGATATTACCATTACACGACTTTCCGACAAGGCTGATCATTCAGTACGATGTCGCAATTCCAATTAGTCAAATTAAGGAGTTATTAACTCCTTGGTCAAATCGTTCACGTCCCTTTCTTTCACATTCAATAATATCCATGAATCGTTATACTGAATACTTGTTGCGACTAAGGAAATTACCACGTAATGTATTTTTTTAACAGTACAATAACAAAGGCAAAGCTACCTTTTATGATGAGAGTTTGTCATAACAGTGTTTTTTATAACTAGTTTCAACTAATAAAGACTGTTTCCTAGGCACCAGCCTCCTGTTAATATCTACATATTCAAAAACATCATAAGGGTCTCAGAGGTTTTGATTGTTTATTTAAATTAATTTTAGATGACCAGTTCATTAACAATACGAATCGAACACTTACTTCACCTGCACACACCCACTTGCACACACTTGCACATTTTTCTTCTTTTTTCTTTTTTCTTAATTTCTTTCCACTTTTTATTCAGATATTTTCTGAACAAAATCTTTATATGTGACTCTCTACTCCCCTACATTCTCCTAAAAACAGCGCCATGTACCCCCCCCCCCCCTTCCCGGCTGCTATCGCCTCAAGCTTCTTTGCTTATGATAGTTGGCCTCTGCATTTATCTTGATTATTTTTACTTACCTCCATACTTTCAAGCTTTCAATTATGTATTTTTTTTTTAAATATTTTATTTTGTGTGTATTAAGTTGTCACTCTTGATGTAAATCAATTATATTATATACTATTATTGTTATTTGAATGTTTTATATTTGATTTATCAATAAATGCAGAAACATCTGCTAAAAAAAAAAAAAAGGGGGATCCGGTAACTTTGTCTTCGATCCTTAAAAGAAATCCTGGATTTAGCTCATGCTGCAATGATAATTATAAACCTTTAGGTCAGTCAGGAACCCCATGAATTTTACAAGCCGATCGCCTGTCTGATTATCAAGATATTAATGATTGAAAATCGAAATCAAATTTTGCGTTTGCCAAACGGTTTTCATAACACTACAGTCTATTGGGGAAAACGAGTTTGGTAAAACCGGTCACTCAAAGGTTTACACTTTTTTGTGGCACTTCATGATCATTTTGAAGCGAATTATTTTTAGGGCTTCAATATAATACCATATCACAGACACTGATAACACGTAGGGCCGTGCATCATCTTGTGTAGGTTATTGTGGTGGCATTTGTTCTCTTTGGCCGAGACTCAAAACGGTTAAAACAAATAATTAACTACTTGGCTACGATGACCTTCAAGCACCTTCTCCCAACCTACCAGCAATCGTGATTGAATTCAAGTCTATACGGATGCTTTTTCCCTTAGGATGGGGTTTGCCATTCACCTGTTCCTACTTTATAAGTTTTGTTATCCAAGAATGAATACACCAGTAAAGTTTCGCAGCTCATGAACTCTTGATCACCGAATCCTGTCATGTTCCCTGGGACACAAATGTCGTTTGATTTACATTGCTTAATCCTTTACTCTTTGTCGATTATATCTATTTAAGAAAACAGTCCAGTCCAGTTCAGTTCATGCAATACTTTCATAAGATGTACAATGGTAAAAAACATATAGAAGTTACACAATGATATCAATATACATGAGAATAATATAAGCAGAGAAGACAAGAAGAAGAAATTAACATATAAATACATGAAAGTATTTGGAGACAAGACAGGAAGGGCGGGCCTTATGTGAAAGTCTGTCTACACTGATTATATCAAAATACTAAGTCATTTATTGTACAGAAGTGGAATTAATTGTGCAATTATGCCCATAAACATAATATAGTAACGCGATTTTTCTTGAATTCTGTGAGTTTTCAATCAATTGCCAGAGCGCTGTTTCGTTTTGTATCTTTTTAATGTCTCATAATGAAGCGACAAGTATATTAATTCTGTAAATGGTTATCTTGTTTCAGAAATTCGGAGCACAAGCATTTGTACTAAATATCAGAGCCCCACCCGATTGTCTACTCAGTGAACGCATACTATACAGTATCCTGCGTAAAGCCACGATGATCGGATATTTAGATTTGGGTGTCGGAAGGATTCGATAAATGAGGAGGGGGTAAATATTGGGGGAAACTGAGATCAAAAATCAATTTTTGGAAAAGGGGGATCTAAAGTGATCGAGCTAGAGAGAGTGGGCATATGAATACGGAGAGAGATAGAGAGAGAGAGAGAGTGAGGGAGGGAGATGGAATTGGCAATGGGAATGAGAAAAGAAGGGAGGGCCTCAATTATTCTTCAGCCCTAAAGTAGTAGATGGTGTAACCCGGACATGAGAAGCTTTGTTCACAGCCTGAGGCTGTTGTGTCTATAGTTTGACTTCATGTTAGGGTTAATAATGTGAATCATCAAGTACACACCAAAGGCCAAGGACGGACATACAGTCATGACGATTGAGACTCGGAACCTGAGATGCGAAGATTTAAGGGAAAGCGATGAGAGCACAACCCACAAACTACTCCCATCACAAACTAGTACAAATGCTGTAGTCTAATGAAATCGAGAAAACTAAGGCAAGTCGAAGATACGTTGGGATGAAATGAAATTATTATTGAAAGCAAATTGGGTTTACTTTGTTAAATATAAAGATTCTCACCTTATTCCGAACTTGCAAAAATGAACTATAACATTATATTTAACAAAATGACTTTAATATAGAAATAAAAGTTGCAGGTCCAGATTCATCTTTGTTTATACTTGTACAAAGTACCAATGGTAGGACTAACCTCTCTCTCCAGTATAATTATGACACAGAAAGCTACTACTAGTACATAATGGGTGCCAAGTCTAACAGTTCCTTTACCTTTTGTTCTTATCTGGGGTCATTTGTGTACCTCCCTTGTAATCTTTCTCTCTCTCTCTCTCTCTCTGTCTCTCTCTCTCTCCCTCCCTCCCTCCCCTCCTCTGTTTTCCTTTCTCCGCCCCATTTCATCCTCCACATGCTCCTCCTTCTTTTTCCCTTTTGTCTACAGTATCTTTCTTACTAATAAAAGAACAATACAACAACAACAACAACAAAACAATCCCCAGGTCTGTCATGGTCATACTCATACAACGAAGCAGATCATCTGTACGTCAATAAACGGGCCTTGTTATATTGAGTATTGGTTCAATGTAAAACATATGTATGAGAGGGGCGCATTTGATTGAAGAGGCGGTAGTTTCTTGTGATGTGTAACTGAATATGTATAATAATGCGTTGAAGATGTGTAAAGTCATGAAATAAATGTCATAAAAGAACACAGATACAGTAATGTGATATATTTTTATCACTGCTTGCCGGTCTTCTCAGTGTTACAATATATCTTTCGTGTTTGGTTTGTTTGCTATTTGCCCCTCCCGTTTAACTTTTCACCTTGGTGTATGTAAATGTATATCCCTTTATAAATATCTTAAAGACGTGCCAGGTGCGTCGATCCATATTCAATGTTTGGAGGCTCTATCGGATCCATGATAATTACGAAAATATTGCGTCAAGGGGAACTTGACTCTTTAAATACTGCCCCCGCAGGACCGGCGCCGCCCCCTTTCTCTATCTTTCTCTCTCTCTCTATCTGTCTATCTCTCTCTTCCTCTCCCTCTCTCTCTCTCTCTCTCTCTCTCTCTCGCTCTCTCTTTCTTTACTCTCACTCTCGTTCATTACATATTTTGTTATTTCTGAAATCTATACGTGAACGTCAGTCTATACCATAATTTTATAATGAGAAGAAAATGAAGTCAGAGAATAGAAACATCAGACAAGATGACTCATCTAGAACAAGATTGATATTTATTCAACTTGAAAACCAGCATGTGGAATCATGCATGGGTTCCTTGTCGAGGTAAAACCATACAAATGCTAGCAGGTGAATCGGAACGGTGTGTATCCAAACGAACTTATGATCATGCTGATGGGCAGGTAGTAGGAAACTCAAAGAGGGTAACAGGTGTTATAGACCTTAATATCATTCCCCGTGATATCACTTACAATTAGACCATGGCCCCATTTTCAATTACAAGCAAATTCTTACGAAGGCCTGAAATGATTTGCCGTCATCCTTATCAGAAGTAGCACTCTAGCCTAACAAGCCTAAAAAGAGATGTGGCGGATTTTCCGAACATCATATCGAAAATCTTGAAGAGTGTATGCGTCCAATCTTACAAACAGTAGGGGATAAAAGACTTAAGGTTAATGTATTAGTGTTTGAATTAATAATGGGTTCCATGGATAATTCTTTTCTTCCAAGGACTATTAATGGCTAGCTTTGTAATTCACCTGTTCTATGTAATAACATTTATATGGATAGATTACAACTACCATTCATGTCTTGCTGATAATTTATATTGAGTACATTATTGGTAAGCAATTGAGTTATTATATAGGCAACCTTGGATTATCAACAGGTATATATAAAAATGTGAATATAAAGCAGATCTTTTGGACAAATTGCATGTTGTAATAAACAATCCTTCTGTGTTTTTTTCTCCAAAGTCTAGATCCCACACAATATTGTTCCTCAAATATTTTGAAACAATGTTAGGATGCCTCCAAGGCTCCAACTATTACACTAATTTCATTTTTCTTCAGCGAATTGGTTATCCTTTTCTATCTTGTGTTAACCTACAAGATTGTAGACGATCTAGTTTGTTTTCGCTTTTCCCTTGCAGAGAGTTTCCCGGCAATCCTTGGTCTACCTGAGATCACCCCAACTCACTTCGAAGACGTGGTCGAACTACGATGCTCCTTCAGAGGTCTAGAGTCACGTCAGGGGTCAACCAAAGGTTATACGGTCACCTGGTTTAAGGTAAATAATAATTCTAGTCATTAATTATGTATCAGTCCATGTATAGGCCTATAAGGTATTTTCATTATCGGTTCATGTTATAATCAGTTCGGATACATTCCACTTACTTACCGTTCTGATAATTATTACCATCGTCCTCCATTCCTACCTCTCCAGATGATGCTCGTTCTTGTATTTATTCGTATTTATCAAATGTTTGTGGATTTAGTTGAATAAAGAGTCGATAATCCCCTCCTGGCTAATTTTCACGTTTGACTTCTGTTTACATCATCACTTTTCAGACTCCCTTCCTTTCATTTTATCTCCCTGGGAAAGGGATTACAGGATTTGAGGATTTGAGGACATTTTGCTTTCATCTTTTCGTCTTTTTAGTGCTTTCTTTTATTCTGAGCAGATCATTTCATTTCCCTTTGGGCTAGTAAAAGCACAGCCTTCGTGAACCAATACACCAGACAACTTGGTAGGGAGGGACTAATACAAAAAGTCTAGAAAAGCTGTTATGTCTGGCATGGAAACAATTCTAACTCTTCCACCTGTGTCACTTTAAATCTGCAACCTGGTTGATTGATTTGATTTGTTATTGTCCACATGAAGGATTTATCGATAAAATCTTAATTCTTACGGGTTAAGGAATGTCGTAGGAAGTAAAATATCCAAACTGTAGGAAGAAAATTGAAAGTTATTTGTTTACAACGAGTTCCATTTCCGTCGTATTTTGAAACATTTCGCCACTATGATTTAATCGAAACTGTAAAACACAGGAAAAGATTAAATTTCTCGGTGATAATCACCTTCTTCGTATTTAATTCACTTATCGATGTAGCATGTACTTTAATATATTACAATAGGTCCTACTTGAAACAAGAACCTAGTAGGTGAAACCAAATAGCTAAAAAGATCAGGAACTTTCTTTATGGAGGGGTGTTGGAGATGCGCCTTTCACCCTTGTGGTAACCTTCATTACATTTGCTTATGCTCGTAAGTCGAAGGAGAAAAGATACTTTTATATAAAATCATTAGTTGTTCAATCTACTAGATTGATATGATTAATGTATTTTGTTGTATTAAACTTCCATCGTTAAAAAAACATATTCATGAAGATCTCTAACATCTTTAAACACCACAAAGGTTTAAGATCCTATTGAGCATATTGATCCCCTTAAACATGTAAAACCGTCTCATGGTAAGGATTTCTAGGTTGATCATTTCCGATTCGTTAAAGATTCAATTACATTTCACTCATTTCCCCGACGTATGGCGAAGGACGCTGTTAACTTTCCTCTTCATGTTCTCCTGGTTATTATTCAATTATAACAAGTGTTTGATTTCTACTTTCATCGATTAGTGAATATTGGCCTGATTTGTTCAGGGCTTAACATGTAATTTCGTTCTTTTCAAATTACAAAAAATCAATGCACAGACCGATTTCCTTGAGTGCTTGTCAGACTTCAATACTACTTTCCCGCATTCTCTGTCGTTACTTCATAAATTCACACTTCATTATTCCCCCTCCCCTGTTCTGTTGATCTTAATTCTTCGAAACGCTAAGGAATATACCTTTACAATATAATATACCTCGCTTCTCAACGAATGCATCACGATCACTATCGGAAACAGAGAATGAGAGAGAGAGAGAGAAAGAGAGAGAGAGAGAGAGAGAAGGAGAGGGGGAGAGAGAGAGGGAAAACTTCTCTTGACACCCCACCACATGTACGATGATAATACGATGACTAGGAATGAGTGTAAGCTCGAGAGAGAAAGGATTTATTATCACTCTTATCATCACTTGTGTCTTCCCCCAATGACATATGTTGTCTAGACTAACTACCCACCTTCTTCCTTACTTCAAACAATTTAACCAACCCTAACTCAAAAGATGCAAATCATCTCTAGTGTTTCCCGAAATAAGAACCGGACCTCCAGATACAATTGTTTTGAAATTAGAATTGATCCATTTGGAAACCTGCTTGTCATGTTGTCCGGCCTCACCTTTCTTTTGTATTTGATATGATTAATTCTTCAACTTACCTTTTCTTACTTTTATTTTTAAAAATATTTTAGGATAGGTTTTCGGCCTAAAATAGTTTCCTCGTGTTTAACTTGAGCTGCTGTGTGAATCTTGCCTGTTCATGAATTCCTTCTTTGTTTGAACGTGGAAATGATGGATTTGACTACAAAACATATATTTTAGCATGATGACAGAGGAAACTAAGACACTTTAAATCTGTATCCCATGCTACAACTACACTTATTCCCAAGAATCGAGTTTATGGAAGTTTTGCAAAGTCTCTCCGACTCAGTATTATTACAAGTATACCAAAGGGTTCATGGGTTCGTATATGTTTTTTTAATGCAATGTTCGTTTAATAAACGTTGAAAATCAATATCAAAATATTTTGTGATATGTTTAATACATGTTGTATATATTTTAAGCATCATTTTTGTTTGGGGTTTATATTCGTTGGAAAGGTAAAAGAATAAAGGATAAAGTAAAAAAATCAGGTAATGTTGCTTTAAACGTCTTCATCTCTGACAAGCAATATCTCTAGTCCTTTGTAAGAATTTGTATTATGTCGTGCATGACCTGAATATCGAATTCTACCTGTTATCATCTTATTGAACAACATTCTCGATGTAATGTAAGACTATATAAGATTATGAGTCAGTTTGTGATTGATATCATACATGTAGGAAACATTGATCTAGACAGCTAACTACCAACTCCTCAGAAATTGGAGGAGAAAGTCGCATAATAGACGAGAAATCCGAGAATAAATTACACTAGAACAAGTTACCAGAGCCCCTACTGTCATTCTCAATTATCTTCATGTTTAACTAGGACTGTTTCTTTATTCGGAATTGGCACAAACTCCTTACAAATTGCAAAAGCTTAAAGAATTCTTTTAAATTTGTGATTTTAACTTCCAACGTTTTGTATGTAATAGTTTTGTGGATCAAATGGCCGTGTGTATCATGGACTAAATTCCGTTGCAAATTTATTTTATATGATTGTTAAACCTGAATGTCATACCTGATTCAGTTTACAATCGAGGAAACACAATTATAGAGAAGCCAATTTCCTAAACTCTGCGCATGTGCACCAAAATAACATATTATTTTCATATCGGAAATGAAAAATCAAATCCTTTAGAACTTATTCATTTTGGCCGATTCAAGATTTCAGTCATGCAAACGCACATTAAACGAATTATTGCACCTTGCTGCCAGTGGGACGGTTCAAAGATTCTTTGTTAAAAAAAAAATTCTAAGTAATAAATAGATGATTTTCTCCGAGGAATATTGTATCTCTTAATTTAAATCTGAATCGTTCATGTTTCTTGATAATATATTTGTTATATGTATTTTGTTTCACTTTAATTTGTTGCTCTAATAATCGAAAAATGCAATAAAAGAGAATCAGGAATAATATTGATAAATGTTCAATCTGCAATGCAACAAACCAAGGTGCTCTGGTATCTTCATGGACGATATTTTCTAAAGAAAATGCATGTTGTAAATGAAATCATCATTACGTCATTACCATAACATAAGCGTATCCGATTCGTATTTATAATATTATCTACTACCTGAAACTTTTATATCATTTCCGAAAGAATAGGATATGCTCCTGATGAGATAACAGGTAATCCAAACCTCGGATATCCGATATAGTATATCATACATGCCGGCTCTTCTAGAATTCCATTGAATTGATTTGTGTAATGTGTTAAAAAAAGAGGAAATATTTCGGCTTGGTAAAGAATCGACTGAAAATAGATAGTATGAAAACCTAACTAATTCTGAACCTCTCTTGCCTCAAATATGATGTCTTTAATTCGCACAATTAAAGGCAATCAAATAGTTAATACATCAAATTTTCTTACTTCCTTTTTCGTTTCGTGTTTCATTTTCAATAGGCTGGACCGGAAGAGATGTACCAACAGCTGTCTAAAAATGACACCATCGAAAATTTTGCCTCCCTGGAACTCCGTAAACATTTCTCCTTAGGTGATAAGGTAAGTGTTTATATAATGCAAAGGAACATGTACTTCCATGATACCTTGCGCCATTTGTCTGTGCAGGCATATCCTTTTCGGACTACCAAAATGTCATTTCGAGTCCTGTAATTTGACTAGTACTTTTCTCGTTCTAAAGTAGAATTGAAAAGTGACTTAATTGTTCTAAGAGATTCGACAAATGTTATTTTCTCTAAGTTTCGTGATAAAGGGTATGATATTTATCATTAATCCTTTCATATGTACCATTTGTAATCGAGCGACTATCTGTACAAAGAATAGAAAACAAATACGAACAATAGCAGGACATCGCGTTCTGACACCTCATCGAAAGCACTCGTTCTAAATTGGAGGAAATGTCTCTTTGATCGTATCTTCTTCTTTTCTTTTTTTCTTTTTTTTCTTCTTTTTTATCAAGAAGACGTTTCAGAGATTTCATAGCGAGAAATAATAATTTCACAATTTAGTTTTGACACCTGTTAGTATGTTGTTTCATCGTCTGATGATCTCTCTCTCTCTTTCTCTCTTTATCTTTCTCTTTTTCTCTCTCACTCCCTCCCTCCCTACCTACCTCCATACCACCCTCTCTTCCCCCCTCCCTCTCTCTCACTCCCTCCCTCCCTCCCTCCCTCCCCCCCCCCTCCTTCCCTCCCTCCCCCCCCCCTCTCTCTCTCTTTCTCTCTCTTTTTATCCGTCTTACAGGTTATATGTACCGTGCAAGCATTTTTCAATGCTACCAGACAGCTTAAAAGCCCACCAATAGAAAGTGATCCATTTCATATCACAATATCGGTAAGTTTGATAACGATTATTTGTCTCCATCTTCCTTATTCCTTGAATAGAATTTCTCCGAATCATATACATGTATTCTCTTCTGCTTTTGTTACTTGTGATTTCAAATTGTTTAATATATGCTTTCTGTAATGTTATTTCTATTTTAGCTTCCATTACCTCTGATCTCCCTTTCCTTACTTTCTCCTCACACGCCATACACTAATATACTCTAGAACACTGCTACCTGTTTTAACTATCACATTCAAGTGACACAGTTCACATGAAAAACATAATGACCTCCACGAAATCTGTGCCAAGTCATAATTCTTGACGATTTATTAGGATGGGTAGAGTGATACCGTGGATGTTTGTTTATCCATGTTCTGTGCAGGTATCTCCGAGAAGATTGGAGATAGCGGAAGATGGACAGCGCCATCTAGTAGCCTTTGAGAGTACTGTACCTATCCATTGTGAGGATCCTCAGCAAAGCTGCTCTGTTCTCATACCACTTTCTACAATTAGTAATGGTAGGTACTCTTTATAAAGGATCAGTTATAAGACGTGCAGTTATGCTAGGCCTAAAAAAACAGATGTTGTATTGCCTTTTAGGTGCCAAAAGATGGGTCGATCGGGAAATCTTCTTCTTTTTTTAACAACTTTTTTTCTTCTTCTCCCTCTAGCTCTTTGGGCTGATATTTCTCAGTTTTTTGCTTTAATACATATTTTGATATTCATTAAACTTTTTTCTTTGTTTTAAAAGACGACCGTAGATTATAAGATTTTGGGGTGGGTCGAAAAGGACAATACAACATCTTGTATACATCAGTAGACTAGTGGGCTTATACCAGTTATAGGGCTCCTTGTAGGCATATTCTTTCTTCTGTTCATTGAGTGGAATAATGCTCAATGAGGTACTTATTCCGTGACACCATATCTTGATTTCGTGACAACAATTGATCAAAATAATTTGTATTAGGATAAGAGGGAGTTAAGCAAGGGCTCCTCATCAAAGTGGTAACATTTAGACCGTATTCTTGATCGGACAAACAATGTAATGAGCCGATCCACAAGGAAAAAATACCTAGTTAATATGCGTGTAGTTAAAAACGATTGAAGTTATTGGATGTTGGTTAATCATGGATATTACTTAAGGCTTCCATGTTTCTGATTTCCATAGATGCAACGGTCGGATACGACATAGCTCTTTCGGAATGCTTCGTAGAACTTCGGCCTAGATCGTGTGGTATATCGGAAGCCCGATGTCGCCAAGCATTCATGTTCGTTACTGCAGTAACAGACTTCCAACATGATGGACGAACAGCCAATGAGATCATTACCGGTAACGTGGTTAGTTCGGATCCGTTCTGGAGAGGCTTCAATCCTGATGACCTAGAGGTAAAGTATACACACAGAATGTCACATCTATATTTATTTATTGTTATTGAAAAAGTATTTACATCTTGAATAAAATGCAAAAGACGATTGATATGCGCATGAAAAGTGTTCAAAGAGTTTATAGAAATGGAGATTCCTACTCTTCAGGAATAATGATGTTGCCGTCGATATTCAGTGATGTAAATATTTAGTGGTTAAACATAGATTATAACTGGTGAGTGAACTATCATCCACCCTGATCGAGAGGCGATTATATTATGATTGGAAATATTTGACCAAGTATTCAAATATAAACACGATTGATGATTATCTGTGCTTTATCCACCCACGGGTTTATAAGTATTGATTACAATATGGGTGTCCTTTTAATGATACATACAGGTGATTGTGAATGATATACCCACGGCCCAGTGCTACTCTTTCACAGACCCACACTTTATTACATTCGATAGAAAGTGAGTATTCAATCTAACAATTCTATACCATACTTCATAATAACTGTTTCGTGATAATACAAGTATATAATATGAGTATAATATGCTAAAATGGAGTCCTTGTGCCGTAAAACAAACTTTAGAATTATTCATTTTGCACTTAACAGTTACGAAATCCCTTCGTCTTCTCTCTCTCTCTCTCTCTCTCTCTCTCTCATTGTCACTATTATTCACTGTCTCTCATGCGTTTTGCTTTTGTCATTATAGTCACGCAATGTGAACTATTTTTCTTTATGGCATGGCATTAATGTGGACCTAAACTCTAAACTAGTGACAAATTGTTGCTCCTCCTCCCCACCGTTTTTAACTATTTGGCATTAATCCCAGTTAATCAAGGTGGAATTATTTGTTAAAAGTGTATGGGACTCATAAACCTAACTTTGGGCGCGTTCATGCTTGATTTTGACGGCCAGAATCAGGCATCTGTTACGCGTTTAGTTTAAAACACGGTTGCGTCTTAGCTCACTTTTGTAGAATCACCGAAAAACGGCGATCACGATCGCCGATCGTAAACTCACAAAAAGATGCGTTTACAATTTGTAAACGCGTTTAAATGGGGTCAACGCACTGACCTCTAGTAGGTCTACGTAGCATGCGCACACAGGTTTGCGAATCCAGCTGAAGGCCACCCAAGGAGAATTGCCTGGAGAAGTGAGCATGAACACTGCACCGTGGAACTGCGATTACGATGAGCGTTTACGATGAGCGTTACAAATCGCTCATTCTGCCTTCAAAATCAAGCATGAACGCGCCCTTTGTCACATATATCTGAAAATCACAATATAATTCGTGTCAGTGAATAACCAGTAGTGCATCCAGTGGAGTTCATAGGAGGCGTATTTCCCGCCCATTTACGGACAAATCCAATACCAATGCATGGGGAAGGGGGTTGGGGGGGTTGGCGCATGTCCCCTCTTTTTAGTTACCAAACTCTTCATTTTAAGATCCTGGGCCATATCATCATTGGCTCCATCCTTACCCGATCTACCTAATCTAGTCTATATGTAAGCCGTGTGGTGGCGTTGCAAGGGTGATACCATTTAGTGTGGGGGTACAGCAAAAAAATTAGCATGGACCATTGAACAAAAGATACAATATGGTTGTGTACTGTTCTCCAAACGGGATTATTGATTGCCACTGTCAAATAATTCATGTTCTAAAGCGATACAGGGCTTCTACAACGTTACTGAGGTTATCTCATTATCTATTTTAAAGTATATTTTGAAGCAACGTGTGGTCATCTGGGCCACCAGAAACTTTGGGGAAATGTGCCCTCCCCCCCCCCCCCCCGCCCCTTCCTAGCTACACCACTGAAGTCGCAATGTTGTACTATCCCTGGAGTATCACCTGATTGATGGTAGAGTCTCATGACTAAACATGGCGTGTGCTTAGATGAACTCACCGGACGTGAGTAGTACTCCCGATACTCCTGATACTACATTTAGCCTTTACATCAGGCAAGCAAGGAGCAGTCAGCCATGTCAATATGTAACAGTTGTTTATCATCTTAGAAATATGTTTCTTCTCTCTCTGTTTGTCCCAGCTACACATAACTGAATCAGGCAAGATGACACAAAAATGCAATAAAAAGTAGAGGTCTAACCAAAATAAAATTGTAATCTTTTTAGGCACATACTTTACTTTACTATTGCCATTATTGTTAATGATTTTGCCTTTATGATGTGATTTGAAGAGTCTGACTAATTGAACACCAGTATGTCTTTTGGTCTTGTAAGTATCATTGTACTTGTCTGAGACTCATGGTAAGATCAGAAACCCGCAAATAATCATATTAAGCTATTCTTTATCACTAAAACTCTCCAGAACTAATTGGGCAGCTGTTTAGATTACTTTACCTAATGTAATTTTTAATTTACTTAATGCTTGCAATTATTCCTAATGAGGCCTACTGTTATCTCTTCTTCTAATCAGGAAATATGACTACTACAAAACGGGAACGTTTGTTCTCTACAAGAGTCTTAGTCGAGAGTTCGAGGTGAGTTCTTATCATTTCTTTGTGACCCTGTGATTGCGTTTCAGCTTACTCATCTTCAAATGAGAATTAAAGTGGTTAGTAATTGTTAATTAAGAGTCAATTAAGATTCAATTAAATCACCTCAGTGAACAGATCGTGTCACAGCTGCCAAAATAATTTCCAAGTCAGTTTAAAAGAGACAAGACTGATAGGTCGACTATCTAATTTCTGTTGTACAAACACAAGCAATATTACAACTAGATTTTTGTTTAAAGGTGGACTAAATTTCTGAAAAGAATATTGTGATGAGAAGATGTAATGCAGAGCAGGTTCTTCAGGAGGAGCTATATTACTGGAACAGGTGTATGGTATTAAAGAAAGTAGGCCATGATCAAACATACACCTGTATGTTAATTGAATGATTCCCAAATGTCCTGTACTCTCCTAAGATTTGAACCTAGTTAGGAAGGTGTATTCAAGATAACTTCCTTCTAAGAGGCCTGGTCTACATATCACTCATTAACCATGTCATCATACCCTAGATCCCAAACCTGCTCAATTCTGATAGCAGAGCTCAATTCCCTACCCACATGTCAATGTTAGTACGAAGGCTCCACTCTGGAAATTCCCGTAGATCAGTATTAAAATATGAAGAACTTAATAATAATAATAATTAAATTCATGGGGCGCTTTATACAGGCGTTTCTAAGTTAGTGTGGAGGAATTTCAGTCCATAAACGGCAAATGACATATGTCAATTTTTTACAAGTCTCAAACATCTTAAACAATGTCTCACCAATAATTTACTTTTTAATCTATATCTGTTGAAAGTGTTCATGTATATATTTCAAACATTCTTTGATTGATCAAGGAACGATCTCTTTATTTTCCTGATATTTTTCCAGTGTTTTTTATGTTTCGTTTTATTTTGTTTAAAGCCGTGTTTATCTCACCATTTATTCTTATTTATGTCTCCCTCCTATTCTCTTGTATTTACATGTTAATCTGTCTTCTTACTATAATACTATATATATCCCTGTACGATTTGGATACTTCTCAATCGGCTACTTCTTTGTATTTCTTCTCCTATTTCTTCTCAATGTTCACCTCTTCTCTGACCTGTCCGTCTTCATACCCGCCTCCACCTCCTTCGTCTTATTCCTAAACTATTTCTCATTTCTTCTACCACCTTTTTCACGAACTATTCCCCTACTCTATGATCTTAATCTGTGTGTTGATACATTGAAATTCATCTGGAAGTCACTTACTCATTCCTTCCCTTCACTCTCCAACCCCTCTCAGGTGCATACCCGTATCTGGAACTGTGGAGGTATCTCAGAACAGGTGTCTTGCAACTGTGGCTTCGTTGCTAAGGAAGATAATGACGTCATATCAGTGGACATGTGCGATGGTAACGTGTTGGAAACCAGGGCGGAAGTAAGGGTCAGGAGCCCCCAGCCTCTTACTGATGGGGTCAAAATCAAGCAGGCCAAAAACGGAACCAAAATTACCGTGAGTTTGATTCGCTTTGCAAATAGGCTTGCTGACAGCGATGTCTATATTTGCCGCTTTGGGGTTCGTGTGTTTGTCAATGTTTTGAGAGGGGCAAATGAATTGATATGAAGAGAGACAGCTTACAGTCTGGCAAGGTGAGATAAGAGAAGAAAATTAAAGTGAATGAAGACAGAGAAGGGGTCAGACTGAGAAAGTGATGGAGGGGGAGAGGGAGAGACAACAAGGTATCCAAATTAAAAGACCGAGAGAGGGAGAGAGACAGAGATCCAAAGGAAGAAAAAAACAGATGTAGAAAAGAAGAATTGAATCAGAGAGGAGTAAAAACGCGCAAGCGGAACGTTTCGGTTTTTTCGTTTTCCAAGCTTTATGATCTGAGTAAGACTAGCCCATTTCATAATGCTAATTGATATGTTTTCCATCAATTCCTTAGATAGTCTTTGCAATTATCATTGATGGATTATTCTGAACATCCTCATGTTGATAGATATTATTTTCCACCAATCACGTCACGTCAATTGCCAAGTGATACTCAGAGAATACTAATGATTATTCACCCCCTTGCGTTTTTCAAGCTAGACCTACAACTGACTTTTCATCCTGTCAAGTAAATTTTAATCATTTTATTTGAACTTCCCCTTCTTTCAGGTTGAGTTTTCATCAGGGGCCTTCATTCGAGCTGATATCTCGGACTGGGGTATGAGTATTACCGTTCAAGCGCCCTCTCTTGACTTCAATCGAACAGTTGGTCTCTGCGGAACATTTGATGGCAACCCAGAGAATGAGTTTCATGACAAACAAGGCAGAAACCTGGCCTTAGCTATGCGCTATGGGCAGGCAAACGAGTTCGTTGAGTTATGGAGGTAAATAGTTATCCATATCTGATCTTGGTTCTCACTGTTTTTATCATTTATTTAACATTTGTTCCTCTTTCTTAAAAACTGTTGGTTATACTTTACCAAAATATTTGCGCATCATGTCTGTCAATGTCAATTAAAAAGTTCATGAAGCCCTGAGAACAAACTGCATTTTAAATGCAATTTGTATTCAGTAACTGATAACATAGTCCCTGTCGGTTTAAATGACGCTGAACTCATATCGTTTCCCATTTCTATTTACAGTATTATCGATTCAGTAGCGTTCCAGTCGTTTATAAAATGGCTTGCTCTTGTCAAGCGTAGTTGTAAACATTATGAGGTATTAGATGAATATTTATACACATTCATCGTTCGTTTTCTTATTTGTTAATTGCAGATTGCGTGATGGAGGTATGTTCAACATGATTCCTCTACCGGTGCCATACCAACTACGTCTTCCAGCCTGCTCATGTTTATCACCTATCGTTCCGTCCAGTAGTGACTTGTATCCAATCCAGAGCATTGGGTGCTTGGGAGGCACCTCCTGTAGAACACGATGCACCCGATTCGAAGACGTGCATAGGAGAGAATTAGTACAGTCCAGTGACGTCACATCCATGTATTCAAACATTGTGTCAAATAACCCTTTCGGTAGGAGGCGAAAGAGAAGTGCCTCAAGAGACAAAGTGACTGATAGGACTAAGCGTCAGTCTAATAGTGAAAGCTCACTGGATCCGACATCCCTGCTAGATTTCTTTAATCTCTTTGATCTAGACATACCTGTAGGTTTGATTGAGCAGACGGGGTCTGTAGGACCTAGTATTCAGAACATTTACTTCTTTCTACCTGATCACAAGACGAGTGATCTTAGACCACTCAAGGCAACATGGCCGACACCCAGTGGTATATCTCTGGAGCAAGCGCGCGAGTTCTGCTTCCAGACCGTGGGAAACACCACTCTCGCTAGCGCATGTGGCGAAAGCGGCTTATGGACGAACATGTATATTGATGATGCTGTTGAGATGTGCCTTAGCGATGTGCAGTTGACTGAAGACTTGACCTGGGCATCACAGACATTGCCTTTGGTAGAGAACCAATGCGAGGCTGCATATGTGTCCAATAGAACGTTATGGAGACCTGATCATAGTGCTGGGAATGAGTTAGGAGAGGTGGTGCCACCGGAAGGGGTCTTGAGGGCGCTAAACTGTCCTAATGAATGCAATGGACATGGGGTGTGCACGAAACAGGGCTGTATATGTGAAGACAAGTACGAGCCACCAGACTGCAGTTGGAAAGATGGTAAAGAAGAGAAAAGTGAAAGTTACAAATGGCGATATCAATGTTGTTGTAGAAACCGATTACACTTTTGATTTATTGCATATCTTTGTGTTTGGATTACTGACACCCTGTCTCAAGATTTTCTTTACCTTTTTACAATAGTGCGTTATACAGATACAGAAATTAGATTGGCGATCGTAAACGGAACATTAAATAAAACTGAAACAAAATGACGAACCACAAAAAAAAATAATAATGAAACACTCCTTGTCAGTCCCGAGACATTTCTAAGAGATTAAGTCATACAAGGTTATTTCAATTGTAGTTTCGTATTGATGTTCATGTCAGTGTTCCAAGATGTTAGATGACTTGCATGTTATGTAAACTTAATTATTCGTCTGATATTTCTGATTGGCAGATGCTATTCCATACATTGTGAGACTAGAGAACAATGGTTTATGTGACAGAGAGACTCAGCGATGTGACATGGTCAGGATTACAGCTAGAGAATACCGAGAAGGCAAGACTGTCACGTGTCTCTTCTCGCTATCCAAGGTAATGACTCCTCTCGTTGGTCTACACAACAATGCTAAACCATTCTTCTATAATGATATGCTTACATCCGATACGAAGTACTGTTGAAGAAGCTCTGAAAATATCCATCAAAATTTCACTATTTATATGATCATAATCTTAGTGTCAATACTCTTGAAAACCATCAGAACGTTTTTTTCTGTAACATGGCCGCTTTCCTTTGGAATTATATAGCATCCAGGATGTTGAACTCATTAGATGACAAACCCATTACATAGTATACAAATATACACTGTCTTGAGAGGTTCTGGTTAAAACTATGCGCAAGAGGTGACTCCAATAGTACTATTTGCTGAGGGGCGCAGCCCCGAAGCAAATGGTACTTCTGTAGTCACCGAGGCCCATAGTTTTAACCAGTACCTCGAATAGAGGCATGGTATATTTGTTTGATATCCTACATCAAAAATTTATTTTATACAAAATAAAAAATTAAAAAATTAAAAAATTGGGAAAACAAAATTTAAAACAGAAAAATGTCAATTTTTATCTAAAAAGATTTAAAATATTTTGTTTTTCATTAAATTTAACGGCCGTAGGAGCTATTTGAAATTCATCAAAATTTACCGGGAGCACCGGTAAATCTTTATTTTCAATTTTTCTCGAAAGTAGAAGTGTTTTAGGGGCTACAATTTATGGTGTTTTAAAAACATCCACAGGGGCATCCAAATATATTAAAATTGTAAAGAATCACTATCCATCCATTTTCAAAATTTCCCAAAACTTTGTAATACCTTTAAGATTTTTTTTTTTTTTAATTCCTAAAAAAAAAAAAAAATCACATTTTTTTTTCTACTCCCAAATAGTAAACCCAAATAGTACTCTCATATAGTACTTTTTAAAAATAGCTCAAATATTTCTGGTCATGTGACGAGCTCTCAACCAATCAAAAGCCAACACATTTTTGATGCAGGATATAATATCGGGTAAATACCATCTGATTATTTAATTTACGTTAAGCTACGGAACATAGTGTAATTATTTAAACAAGTATTATTTAGCGCAAACCAAATTATGATAAAGAGCTTTGAATATTATTACCACGGCGTAATAGCTTGGGTAACCATTACCAGTGTAAAACGTTGACCTAGGATTCCTCTCTAGACATTATCTTACTTGAATTGTATTTTGAAAATTAAATGTCTATATTAGATGTGACTTGTATATGATAGATGCTTATATTCGATATTCTTGGTTATATAGGACGGATTAAACGATGTGTCTTCAGTGATTTACGCTCAGTCTATCGCTATAAGAATCAACAGAAAAACTGTACTATGCAATGTACCAACTATAGAGGGAGCTGCTAATGAAGATGGTACAATGCGATGGGAGGTTCAGGTAACTTAACAACAAATCAAAGCTTCTCTATTTTACCCCCCCCCCCCCCCTCTCTCTCTCTCTCTCTCTCTCTCTCTCTCTTTCTCTCTCTCTCTTTCTCTTTCTCTCTCTCTCTCTTTCTCTCTCTCTCTCTTTCTCTCACTGTCATTTTGATAATTATAAACAGACGTTTACAATAATCTAATTGCATGCCTACAATTTCAGTACGAGAATACACCCGACGGTGGCCTGGACTTATAGCGAAGAAGAATGTAAAAATTCATATCACATATCTTGATATAATCTCGCAACAGTACTGGAAATGAGTGGATCGGACTTCAAGGTCACTAGGAAGAACTCAAAAACATGAAGGACATTATAGTTACAAAGTAAATTATAGTTAGAAGTGACATAATGGACATGAGGTCATTTGTTAAAGAAAAAATGGAGAACGTGTCCTTGAGAAGTTTGATATGTTTAACCACAAAATGAAAGTCCTTATTCTCGATCCAGCCATTTACTGTTAACAACCTTTTAAAAAAGTAAAGTTTTATTTGTTTCTATTTTGCAACTTTTCTGATTTATGGCATATACATATTATGTGGTGGTGGTAATTTACCTGACTGCTAGTAAGCAACCAGACGGTCGGCGAGCCGTCTCTCCGAGGAACCTTGTAATGAGTAATGAGGAATATTAATGCAGTAACTAGCGCATCGACTTGGTTTCGAACCCGGGTCACCGGATTACGAGACCACTGCTCTACCGACTGAGCTATCGCGCCTCCTCTACATCATAATGGCTGGTGTGTCATTGTAAAGTAAAGAATATTACTTACCCAGCCCTTTCACAAATAAGAAAACATTCCTTTTGCCAATGAGTAGGACCTGTTCTTATAGGTATAATGTTTTGTCTTCTTCAGGTGATGTATTCTGATTCGTCTCCTAGCAACACAATGACCTTGATACATTACGATTCTAAATGTCACGTGTGTACTTGGACTGGAGCTTGTACAACAAAGGTTGGTCAAATGCATTCTTTTATTCCTGAACTAGCACTAATTGTTCTTTAGAAGGACGAGCGTAATTGAAGGAAGCAAGTAAGAAAACTTTGTATGTAAACAACTTTTACAGTAAGTTTACACGATATGTTTTATTTGGGAGAATTTTCATTATTATAGTATTTCAAATATTTTGTTTTCGACGTTCCAACTATCAAAATATGCAATTTCTACATGACAGTAATAATAATTGCTTTTTTAGGGTGTGTGTAGAAGATATCCATTTCCCCTGATATAGATCCATTCATTTTCAGTATTGTAATCTAGCCCTGATCTCCTTGTCATGAAGATTATTAACCTCTCTTGAATGTATCACTTTCCTTCTCACTTTGAGGTAATGAGTGCTTGGTGCGGGTAAGAAGAAGATTGTGATGGTATTGATTAAAGCAAACACCACCCATGGGAGGATGTATGGTTCAAGTAATACGAAGTCTTAAAACCACACTCGTTTTGTTACGGGATTTGTTAGTAATTACTTACCCATGTCTTCATATCTCTCCGGTCTAACGATCTTCCGTACCTGTGAATTTCACCTCTTAGATGAGTGATCAGTTTGAGGTCATCGGTGATTAGTCATCACGATGAGTACGCATCTTCGAAACTATTTATCTCAGGCAAAATATGATGCGTCTGGTCAGGTTAATCTGATTTCTCTCTAATGAATTCTTTTTACGCAGCAGAGGTAGAATTTATTTAAGGTAGTGCTATACTCTAAATACCAACACTTAGAATGCATACTCCTCTGAAAATGAACTCATCTTCATTTCATTTTCCATCAGGGTGTAGATGTTTGCTCATAATGTACGTAGGTTGGTAGGTGCTCGATTTACTCATTTAGTTGTCAGCCCCCTTTACACGGCTGCCTCATTATAATACAGAGGGAGAAGTGGATCTATTAACTGCAGCTTCCTCCTTCCAAACATCTCAAGATCAGTTACTAAACGGCAATCATGTTATGTATATTTTTATTTCTTTCTTTAACCTTGTCTGATCAGGAGAACGCATGTGTGATTGAAAGTCGCTGTTATTCTGCCGGTCAGCATAATGAGAGAGATTCTTGTCAGCAGTGTCGGCCATTGGTCAGTCGGCATGAATGGTCAATATCAGAAGGTATGGAATCCGTAACAGAAATATTGCATCGACGAGTTTTATGAACCTAACGTTAAAACTCGTTGAGTAACTGAAAATAACAAAATAAAGAGAAAAATACGACCGAGAAGAAACGAAAATACAAAAGGTCATTTTGGTCCAAAATTAACCAAAATGTCAATATGGTTGTTAATTGGGGTCAATTTGACCACTTAGTTTTAGTAATTTGAATTATCATAGTTATTATGCATTTACAATAATGATTGTGTGGGTAAATGTGTACTTACTTCTTTTCTTTAACTCTTGTCAGGGTAATCTTTGATCTCATTTCTATCTACAGACAATGTGCCTCCAGTTCTAGGTGTTGATACTCAGTTTACCACTGTGACTGGGCGTGCCTTCACTCATCAACTAGATGCTATAGATCCTGATAGTACCACAGGAGGAGGAGTAGAGTTCTCAGTACAAAGTCTGGTCCCAAACGATCTTTACCATGTCAACATCTCGAGATTCGGGCATCTGTATTGGTTGTCGAACGTAGAGGGCGACTACACGGTACCAGTGAGGTTGACGGACGAGTGTGAATCTAGCGTCACATTTGAGATGGAGGTAAACTTATTAATCAGTATATTCAAAGACATTGAGTGTATTAGATATCCAAAATAAATTTGTTGTGGATGGCAGGGTAATTCACAGAGGCTAAAATTCATTCTAATTGTCACCTTTTCGCCGAGAGTTAATTCAAAATAATAAAGTGATAGATGAGTAAATTATGAGTTAATTAAAAATAATGCTAAAACCTTTTGACAAAAATTGTAAAGAGTTTTTAAAACGCTTAATTTGCCTAACCGTTGCTCAAGAACCGTATTGCTCCTCCAAAACTATCAATGACTACTCGGCACAAAGAACTAACTATTGAAAACTGATGGAATTTTATAATTCATTTATTTTTCTGAATTTTGTTATGTCATTATCTCAGATCACAGTATTGGCCTGTCGGTGCCTAAATGGCGGAGACTGTATACTAGACTCACCATCAGGTGTTTTGACGAATAATCTTCCATATTCATGTTCATGTCCATCACCTTACACGGGAGAGTTCTGTGATATTAATATGGCGCCTGGGATAGGAAGCTGTGAGTCTAATCCCTGTATGCACGGCCAGTGTCGAGACAACATGTTCGGGTTCACATGTGAATGTGAGAATGGCTATACAGGTAATCAAGAAGAATATATTTTTTCATTAGATCAATTTTTTGTTTTGTGAGTAGGACTTGTATATGTTTACATATGTTATGATGGGATCTCTTGACTTTTTATGATAGTTGATCTTCAAAATTGGTTCTGTTTTTCGATAGGCTTATTTAGCACAATGATTGAATGGCCGTTTTAATTTTCATGACTATTTTCTTTCTCCATATGGTGGTCACTGAAACTTTCTTTTTGTGGGATTGTCTGTCCATCTGTCCCACTATCTCGTTATTACAATTATCTCAAGAATATTGTGCATCATCATAGTTACATGAATAGGCTTGTAGATTCCTTAAAATGACATGGAATCAAAATGATTTACATAAACACAAATCTCTATTACTATAAACAGTCGATATCATGGTCACATGGTTAAAAGTAAAATATGGCTACTGCTAGTATAAGATGTTATTTCTTTGTTTTCTCTTTGATGTAGGTTTGACTTGTTCTATCATGAAGAATGTTTGTGATAACAGCCCCTGTTTTGAAGGTGTTGCATGTACAGTACGAGGACTGGGGTCGTTTTCATGCGGGAATTGCCCAGAAGGTTACTATGGAGATGGCATCGTTTGCAAAGGTATGATTCTTCTTGTCATATCTATTTCTCTTTCCCATTTCACTGTATTTCTCTGTATTTTTCAAGCTTGTATTAGCCTTCCATATCTTATTCGATCTCATACTCCAGGCCTCCATTTTTTTAAATCTGATTCCATTTTCTTCTCTTTTATTGTACATTTATTCTCTGTTAATTTTCTTTCCAGGATATTAACTCCAAAGGGACTTTATATACAATATTTTGAAATGTGCTTTGCAAGAATGAAGTATAATTATTTGTATTATGTAGCACAGTAATGAGAATAGCAATAATAAAATGGCAAAAATGGATTTTATTATGCATTTTCTGAAAATCTTGTCATTGTTCTCCACAGCATCAAAGTGCAAAGTTACCTGTCCTAAGAACATGGTGTGCGACCCCAACGTTGGATGTGTGTGTAAGGAGGGCTATCATGGTTATGCATGCTTCAGACGTAAGTTTGTAAAAACATTGGCAATAATTAGGAATCTTTTTGTTTATGTAATCGTAGTAGGCCATTAAGTTTTCATATAGAATTTAACAGAGGAGATTCAAACAAAGGTACAACGTTAGGTATATTCTTTAAACCCGTACTGTGTCTTGTTGTTCCTTTCTTATTGTATGATGATGGTAATAGGTTGATTTATATGAAACTTACATCGGGGACTATAGGCCGATAAGTAACTATATTTAACTATATTCAGTTAAAATTCAATAAAACTTCTTCTCATTGGAAATTTCAAGTCGACAGGGATAATTGACAGAAAGTCAAAACATTGACCCAAACCTATGTAATGTATTCCTGATTAGTTTCATACTCTCTCTGTCTCTTTTTATCTCTATACCTATCGCCATCTCCCTCTGTATGTCTCTCTCTCCAGCCGTATGTAACCCTCCATGTCTAAATAATGGTCGATGTGTTCAGCCTGACACATGTGCCTGCCCAGCTGGCTACACAGGCCAATATTGTCAACGAGGTAAGAAAACGGTTTTGATTGTAAATATCATGTTGCTGTAATGTTAACTGTAGAGTAGTTGTTTCAGTGTGATTAATTCTGTGTTGTCATAGCATTTTATGGGGGAAGATGGCTATACTAATGAATTCTATTTACTTTTAATGTATAATGCTAATAAAGCATAACTATTAGTGACGTATTTAGTACATCATATGAAGAAGTAAGTAGTCTATTTATTTGCCATTCTTAATACAATGTGAACTAATTCAGATCAGAAATCTTATAAAGTGATTATATTAGGATTAAAATTCCATGTCTATTTACACCGTAGTCCAAATCATGCGATTTTGATGAATTGTTAAGGTAGTTATAGATTTATATCCTATCATAAAGTTCTTTATGACTGAAGGGTTTTGGTAATGCTCTTGATTAATGTTTGTACTTTAGAGACATTTGAAATAAAGTGTTTATTTTGATAGCTTTGTTACACTTGAAGTTTGTTTAATATATTTGCATGCTTACGGTTTGATGATCGTGTCGGTGTCCATGCATGGTGGTGGTTGCACTCCGTTTCCCTTATTTTTGTTTCTCTGTAATCCTATTGAGTTTATGTCAAGTCTCATTCCCTTGTAAAATGCTATAACATAAATGACGCAATCAGTGATAAGGCTGTGTCCGTGAGTGTGCCTATTTTTATTTTTTCAAAAGTAGATCTCTCATGCAGTAATTGTTTTTTTTTGGGGGGGTGAGGATTTTATATTAAAGTGCACGCCTGTTCCCTGCCAGTTCCTATCCCATTTCCGTCTATGTCATCTCGTACATGTTACCATGGTGACCGTATATATCTCCGTTTTCCCAATCTATATTTTGGGGAAATTATTTGTTTTCCCCGTTGACAGGGCAATGTGATCCTGCCTGTCTAAACAATGGTCGGTGTATGTCTCACAATCGATGTCATTGCTGGCCGGGATTTACAGGACCAAGATGTGAAATTAGTAAGTTACTTCCAAAACGAAGATCGAAATGAAAACTTATCTGAAATCCTTTTATCTGCATGAGGTAGTTATTAAATTATATCCATTTCTATAATCAGATATATACATCAAACCTTCGAAATCGTTTTTTGACAAGTATAAGCCCAGAAGCCCATATATCTTGCATGTGTAATGAGAGCTATATCTCTATATCGCCTTCCACACATCAAAATTCACATTTATTTCTCCTCTCCTACTTCAACCTTGCAAGATGTGCCTATCGAATTAACATGTTAACCTTTCACTTTTTGCTTGTATCCTGAATACTAATGATATCCGGCTGTTTATTCATCCAGTGCACCGCTGCAATCGAATTGTATTCTGTATTCGTGTACTTTCCTTGTTCATGTTGTCTTACGTATGAATTGTGCATGTTGGTTTCGACTTTGTTTTTTTTTGTGGGGTCTTTTAACGAATTAACACTAAATAATTGTGATGTATGAACAATTATGTGTTGAAGTTCAATTGATTATACATGAACGTAACTTCTGTAGAACCATTTTCCTTTTATGTGATGGAAATTCTTGTTTTTAAGTCTTATGTCATTTTTCTTCTGGAGAATGCGACACCAGTAAAATCGTATATTATTAACACTCTTCATTGAAACAATTTAAAACCACCTATTCTCAGTTTATAGACGTACCATGCTTTATATATAAACTTATTTCGTCTGCTACTCCCTTATCATTGCTAGTTATCTTTAAACGATAGATATTTTATCTAATTATTTTTCTCTTCCTAGTTCTTCTTTCTTGCGTCGTTTTCTTTCGACTTTTAACATTTTCTTTTCTTCATTGTTTTTCTTAAAATCTTCATTAGGCATTTCAGTCCCTTTCTTTTAAATGCACAGAAACATTTGAACGGAACCAGAACGAAACCGGCCTATATCAATAATTATCTATGTTACACTATAATCTTGAAATTTTTTACCCAACGTATACAAAAATTGAGAATGATCCTATCTGTTTGGATTGATATCAATAACATTTGTATTTTTAATTTGAATTTGAATTTGTTGATTGAGAAACATGGTTGTCGTTAGTTTTATCAAGTACTTCAAGGCATCAGACAATCAGACTTTAAACATCTGTGGTCTATGACAAACTAAATCAATGTAAAACAGTTTTCGATTAGAAATGTTTCTTATTATGTCTGGTTTCTTGACAGTGTCATGTCGTCTAAACTGTATGAATGGAGGTTACTGTGTGACACCTGATCGGTGTATCTGTAGAGATGGATATACTGGACCAACTTGCCAAACACGTAAGTTTGCCTCATACATTTTGTGAGTTTTTGCATTTTACATTAATTTTTCTATTCTTATTTTAGGAATAAGTCGTTATAAATTGCGGAAAGATATAAATATATCCCGACAAGCAGATACAAATTATGAAGCACGTTGTCATTAGCTAGAAAGTTCATCATTATCTACAACTTTGCTTGTGATATGGCACAATAAGAAAGGCTAAAAAGCTAAAGACGTATAAATACCGATGTCTGGTAAACACCAACGCCTATACCTGGTTTACAGGTGACTACGAAACAAGTACACCGCGATGACATTTACATTATACTGGCCACACCAGTTTAAACTGGTGTTTCTCACAATATAATCCTGAGCGAATTATCAATCACGTTCCCCCACAATAAAACTGACCATATCGATATTCTGCAAAGGAGGTCGGATAAGAAGGATGTAGACATAACATTTGATAATGGGGAAAACACGTAACTGTTGCCATGACAATGAATGGTGACCCTGTAAGGTGTTTGAAATAACAACTTGATGTGACAAGTGTCACTATCGATGATTTCAAACTCCTTTAGTCGTTTCACTTACAAAATTCCGCTCTGAACACTCTGTTTCTCACATTTTCTTTCTGCTTTCCCCTTGATTCATTTTATTTCTTTTAGATCGATTTTTTATACCTCACGTTTACAATTAAAATCTATAAAACCGACGTAATTCTGTCTTTTAACTGAATTTAACTATGGAAAATAAGTATTTTTCTAAAAAGATATTGATCCCAATAAGAAACGAATAAATGGAAGAAATGAATCGTTTATAATGTGATCGAATCAAAAAGGAAATACTTATCTTTAATAAACCAGTGTTAGTGTGACGAGGAGGACTTATTTAGTTGTTAAAAATGTATTTAAAAGATGTCTCAAGATATTCCACAGTTTTAAACTCTGTTATATTCTAAATATCCTGAACGTTGATTTGTAAAAATCTGACATAGTGCGTGGTTTGTCCGTCGTGTTTTTAGTAGACAACGTGAGCAGAGAGTCACATTTCATAGAATAATCCGAGATTTAGTCAGGAAATTAAGAGATTCAAATCTTCAACCCACTGCTCAGTTGTGTGTAATGTTTATATAAGGGATAAAGGGGTGTTGAAAAACAATTAACTCTAACGACTTTACTCTTCTTAATCCACGTGTAAAGTCGATAGTTTGGGTGTATAACGCCTACAAAATAATGATAAGGAATTGGGTTAATTCAATATTTTACCCTTCGTGTAAGCTCTCTTTAAATCACAGGGCGATGCCAGTAAAAATGATGGTTGCGATTTAAAAAAAAAAGATAGAGACAGACCTCTATTAATGTGTTCCTCTTTGTTAATAATGTTTAGTCGCCTCTAGACTACTCTTTCTTAAGTTCCTTTGAATACTTCCGCGGGCATTATCCTCTATTGCCCCCTGACAAGTACGTCTTCTCATATCCCTTTACCACTCTCACCTATGCATTTTCCGAGCTATCTACTCGGACAATTCATCCTAACTACCTACTCGGACAATTCATCCTAACTACCTACTCGGACAATTCACCCTAACTACCTACTCGGACAATTCACCCTAACTACCTACTCGGACAATTCACCCTAACTACCTACTCGGACAATTCACCCTAACTACCTACTCGGACAATTCACCCTAACTACCTCCTCGGATAATTCACCCTAACTAGCTACTCGGACAATTCATCCTAACTACCTACTCGGACAATTCACCCTAACTACCTACTCGGACAATTCACCCTAACTACCTACTCGGACAATTCACCCTAACTACCTACTCGGACAATTCACCCTAACTACCTACTCGGACAATTCACCCTAACTACCTACTCGGACAATTCGTCTGAGCCAATTACTATTCACCCTAGAGAACAACCAACTTGGATACTTTGCCCTGGACAACTACCTACTCGGACAATTCACCCTAGACAACTACCTACTCGAACAATTCGTCCGAGACAACTACTATTCGCCCTAGAGAACTACCAACTTGGACACTTTGCCCTGGTCAACTACCTACTCGGACAATTCACCCTAGACAACTACCTACTCAGACAATTCGTCCGAGACAACTACTATTCGCCCTAGAGAACAACCAACTCGGACAATTCATCCTAACTACCTACTCGGACAATTCATCCTAACTACCTACTCGGACAATTCACCCTAACTACCTACTCGGACAATTCACCCTAACTACCTACTCGGACAATTCACCCTAACTACCTACTCGGACAATTCACCCTAACTACCTACTCGGACAATTCACCCTAACTACCTCCTCGGATAATTCACCCTAACTAGCTACTCGGACAATTCATCCTAACTACCTACTCGGACAATTCACCCTAACTACCTACTCGGACAATTCACCCTAACTACCTACTCGGACAATTCACCCTAACTACCTACTCGGACAATTCACCCTAACTACCTACTCGGACAATTCACCCTAACTACCTACTCGGACAATTCGTCTGAGCCAATTACTATTCACCCTAGAGAACAACCAACTTGGACACTTTGCCCTGGACAACTACCTACTCGGACAATTCACCCTAGACAACTACCTACTCGAACAATTCGTCCGAGACAACTACTATTCGCCCTAGAGAACTACCAACTTGGACACTTTGCCCTGGTCAACTACCTACTCGGACAATTCACCCTAGACAACTACCTACTCAGACAATTCGTCCGAGACAACTACTATTCGCCCTAGAGAACAACCAACTCGGACACTTTGCCCTGAACAACTACTTAATCAGGCAATTCGGCCTGGACAACTACCCACTTGGACAACTTATGATTATCAAGCCACTATTACCGCGGGATAGACCTCCTTGAAGAATTTCTCCCAATACATGTTTTCTCTCTCTCCTCTCTCTCTCTCTCTCTCTCTCTCTCTCTCTCTCTCTCTCGTGACGTAATAATGGGATAGAAGACCAAGGGGATAGCTTTATGGTGTGAAAATATCAAATAGTGGGCAAGATTTTAAACTCAAGTTTCAAGTTCAAAATTCATCAAATTTGTTTTAATGTTTTAAATACGTCTTAGGGCAAGTTACAAATTCATGGCAGATCAGTTTCTCTTTTTATTAAAGATTTCAACAACGTGACTGTTGTCCTGATTGTATGACAGTTTTTACTACATGAAACCATCTATCACATTAATTGAGATATCTTGCATGGGAAATCATACAGGTATACGATCTCACCTTTAATACGGGTTTCATTATGATATTACTTTCAAATCCCGGACTGTGCCTCATGTATCTTACTTTCTTAGAACTCGTGGAAGCGCACACAACGTTGATGTATGTCATTTGTTGATAACCCCAATAATTCTTCACCAAAAAATGATAGATACTGGTTAGGCTTCAGGCGAAGTACTCAAGATAATGAAAACCCATTTGTACAAATCCCAACATACTTCCCAACATACTTAGAGGTCAGTCTTGAAAACTCTGAAGTCGATGGGTTTGCACTTTTATGTCTGAAAAGTCCATGTATGTGATTGGAGTTACCGACTAAATGTACTATGATGCCTTATGTTTAGCATGATGTTTATATTTAACAGCTGTTTGTTCACCGATGTGCCGTAACGGAGGCAGATGTGTGCGACCAGGATTATGTGTGTGTCCACGAGGTTTCCAGGGACAGTACTGTCAAAGAGGTAAAGACAATTTACACAGTATTGATGTCATTTGTATGATTGGTTTGTAACAGCATTACCACACAACGAGCTATTATTTCGCTTTTAAGGACTTAATTTCTTTCACCTTTTGGATTACACATTGTTCAATTTTCTGAAAATGTACACAAAGTTATAGATTTAGGGTTTTGTAATGTCGGTTCATCTGGTTACAACAACTTTTACGACAAGTTTGACAGTTTGTCATTATTAATCCTCAGGAACAATGATTATTGTTAAAGGCATCGTTTAACAATGTTAAAATCTGAGATGCACGACTTTACGTGTTATCAGTGTCTGTGATATGGTGTAATATTGAAGCCTTAAAAAAAATGCGCTTCAAAATGATCAAGAAGTAAAAAATCTTTGAGTGACCGGTTTTACCATACTCGTTTTCCCCAATAGACTGTAAATTTGTAATTCCAATCATAAATTTCTTGATAATCAGACAGGCGATCGGCTTGTAAAAGTCATGAGGTTCCTGAATGACCTAAAGGTTTATAATTATCATTGCAGCATGAGCTAAATCCAGGATTTTGTTTTAAAATCTGAGACAAAGTTACCGGATCCCTTTAACAATATACTGAATATAATTGAAAGGCAGTGGTGTACAATTTGAAATGGACTAAACAATCTACATTTACTAAATAGAAAATGTTATCATTAGTTCAGTCATCTAACTGTGCCAGTATAAAGAATCTTTTAGACATTAATTCTGTTTTATTCCATAATCTTGATTTGTCTGTGATACAGCAATGTGTACTCTACCGTGCCGTAATGGTGGGACCTGTGTGCGTAAGGATATGTGCTCCTGCCCTAAGGGATACACGGGTAGAAGGTGTGAACGAGGTTAGTACCAAGCCTGGTTAGTGTTAAGTGTAGTGTAGTATGTCTATTGCACTCAACAGTTGTTATCCCTGTCGAAATGGAGAAACTTGCATGAATATGAACTACTTACTATTGGGAATTAGATACCGTGATGAGTGTATTTGAAATTTTATCTTTTTATCTCCATCTTATATAAACGGTATTTAGTCATTGCTTTTATCATGATTCGGTATATGTACGGACGAATCCAGGATTTTTTTTAAGGGGGGGCACCATGCTGAAAATTACACAATTTAGTGAATATTTTGTGTTATCAAGGTATACAGATTAAGCTTCGAATGGGATACGAGCCAGTTGTAGCCCCCTCAGTCCACCCCTGTATATGGATAATATTTCAGGTTTTATTTAAGTATAATCTTACATATTATCGTTTGAAACAGTTGTTGGTCGTGTTGCGGCTGAGCTGCTGTCGCAGCTATTATCATTCGAATAAGTAGCATGTAACATTTGTGCTAATTACTCTAGCACTTAACAAATACAATTCATGATTTTTTTTCTTTTCTTTTCCTTTTGTATTTATTTAGCTATTTGTGAACCACGATGTCAAAATGGCGGACGATGTGTATCCCCTGGTCGATGTTCATGTCCATCTGGATATAGAGGGAGAAAATGTCATAAAGGTATAAATCAATACTCACTGGATATGAAATATGAACAGAAAGAAACTGAAGGAGAGATCATTCTGTTCTTGCAAGAACAATTTTTTAGATTGCAAAAGCGACTGTACTTTCAGACTAACTAAATTCCTAATCAACGTGAGGTATCTTAATGATTTAGCAATGACCTGGTTCTTTCGTCAGTTACGAACTTCAAAAAGTTGGAAGGCCTATGAAAAATTGAAGGGAGTGGAAGGGGAGATTAGACTGTTTGCTTGAGAACTTTGATATTAGCGAGATATGATTAAGTAATGGCCTGCTTTTTACGTCAGCAAAGAACTTGAAAAGATTGCTACTTCATTTGTGTTGACTGTTGATACATGAAATGGTTACTTACAAAATAGTTATTTTTATAGATTTTCCACGGGATTATAGCAGTATTGTATCGTTGCCATCTACAATGCATATAAAGATTGTTTATATTAATTCTAATGAATGATATTGTTCTGTTTCTTTAGCTATTTGTCCGTCTGGATGTCGGAATGGTGGAGAGTGTGTTCAACCTAATGTCTGTATGTGTAAACCTGGACACACGGGGTCAAGTTGTGAAACCTGTAAGTATTATGTATAACCTCTGTAAATCGCTAACATCACTTTTATAATTCTAATCTTTATTATTGTTATTCATTTACCCAGTATTTAATCTATTCAAAGAATAGGAGTTGTGTTTATGCCAACTAAAGTGTAGAGATGTCTGATATATAATGAATCCAATGTAAAGACATCATTATCGTTTTATACGCAAATGAAACTTGCATATAAAGTTATGTCATCACTCAAATACGTGAACCTAAACCGATGAACTCAACTCGTATGACGGATCCCTTTGTTTTGAAGGATGTATGGCATTAGCTGGAAACGTAAAGCTATCAAAGGTTACAGAAAATAGATGTTTCAACAACTTCCTATCCAGATAAAATTCGATGACAGCAACGTGTCGGGGGTGTCTCTCGGGGCGGAATTATCTAGGCTATTCGCGTGCCATACACCCTATGCCATATTTTTTTTTCTAATCTGTTTATTCAAAAGGGGTGTACGCGGTTCAGCCTTAAGCGTAGATAAACAGTTGATTTTCTTGAATTAAACTTGTACTGTAGATTATATGTTCGTAGTTATGAAAATACCACTCGTCAAATAAATGTTTTTTTTAGGGAAAACTTCATTCATTGATCGCTCTTTGATTTTCAAACCCTGACAGAAACCCTGCTTTTCTAAGTACCTCATCATTACCCCTTATTCTATTGTTTTTCTATAGCTGTCTGCCATAAGCCTTGTATGTATGGCGGCAAATGCATCAAACCTGATACATGTTTATGTAGAAGGGGGTACAGAGGGGACCAATGTGAAAACAACAGGTTACTACATAGAAGGTCAGTACTGAATGCATTATTTGTGTCATATCATTCTTATCTCCCATATTTCAATTAAATGCTTACGATGAGTTACTCAGAACGATGCTTTTCCATTCAGTCTGATTAGAATTTTGCCCTTAATGGATTTTTATATATTCATCATCATGATAATAGACAGAGCTGCACGAGTGTTTGTGTTTAAACACAACGCGGATAAATAAAGGGTTTCACATTATACACATACAATCAGCGGTTTTTAATTTCCCCTCGAATAGGGTTTTGTGGAAATATTTCGTTAAATTTGGTCTCGGAAGATAATTCAGTAGGTTACACGATCTGCACCTTTTGACCCGCGTTGTATGATTTTATCAAGATATTGTGTAGTTGCATTACAAACGTTTAATTCAGGTAGCTTATAATAATTTATAAGACAGTATTCTCTGTGTGCTTTTACAATGTATGAGCGATAATGGTAGACATTTAATGTTTAATTGATCTTCCATGTGGTATTCAACCTGTCAAGCGTTCACCTTTTGTCTTCTATTCTTTTCAGATATAGGAGAGATGAAGAAGATCTTTTATGATTACCATGGAAACGATTAGGATTCCATTATTGTTCAGCCAAAGCCATTCATCTTTTGCAATGTATTATTAATTGTGTATAGTGCACTAATTTTATATTTATATTTCAAAGAATGTTTTTCTCTACTAAGCCTTTTCAATTAATCCAAGTAATCCATAAGTTATTGTTTCTACTGGGCTTATTGACATGTACAGTACATGAAGGGAAATGATGGCTATATTTATTGTCTTATACTAGGATTTTATGTGCATGAATGCAAGAAAAAGGCTTATTTTGTGAGGTCTTTCGACTCAAAAGTTAAATTTAGTTAAGACTGATGCTTTATATGTTATATTGAAGAAAAGCCGACGTGATCTAAGACATAATATAATTAAACAATTAGTACTGAGTACGATGGTATACCTTCTTATTTTTAAGAATTTGTATTGGAGCTTTTGAACAAAAAGTAAAATACATTATCCAAAGATCACATTTATGGAGAACAGTATAACAGCGATCTTAACAAAAAGACGAGCAAAACAATAGTTAGGGATTATGATTACAATCGTTTTAACTATATTTAACAATATTTCCGATAACATTAGGGAAGCCATCCTTTAATTGTTACTTACTTTGACAAATGTCTTCATGCATGAAATATCAATATTTCGTTGTATTGTTGCATTAGTTAGAGATGTACAATGCTTCCTTGCTTTCTGTGAATGGTTTAGAATTGTCCATATTTTGTATTTTTTATAGTTATTGTAAATAAAGTCAATATTGCGGATATCTGATTTCCAGTACTAAATTCCTATTACTTTACACAAATGTTCTTTTCGCACAATTCATTAATTAACAACTTTTAACACTTTTTGTTAAGTCACAATGTTAACATAATTTGTTTAATTACAGTACATTATGATTTCAGATTTTTGCAAATGTAGATTTATTTTCATCTACCTTTGATTTCATTAAGTATAATTTTATTCAAAAGAATTTTCTTCCCAAAGCTCAAACAAAAATGCTGCGGTAACCATGTCAAATTTACCGCTTTCCATAGTTTATATGACTATTTGATGTCGTATGGCAGTATTCAATTGTTGATATATGTTTTTATATAAGGATAATGTACTGGTACTACACTTTCATATAAGAATGATTCTGCCCACGTCTGAATTCATTCTCATCAGCCTTTTGTTTGTGGGCCTTTAATCTCCAATTAATATAAAGTGGATTAAATGAATGGTTTAAAATTTGAAGAAGATAATATTCATGTTTAGGGTATGTTACTCGCTAATTCAATACAGGTAAGAAATATAACAACTCATAATGCAACCGGATCATAGCCGCAGACAAAGTGAAGTTTTGGGGGAAATACGCTTCACGTGTATGTCATACCCTATTAGAAAATGTTTGAAAAGGTCAATTAGTGGGTGTTTTGTCATAATTCATTTATTGAAGCTTATCTGATTTCGGATTAGAGTAGAAAAAGGTCATACATCGATTGAGATAAGTATAATCATCGTTGAATCGACACCCACTTCAAATTTATAATGAATGCAGATTAAAAAAGAAGTTTATAATAGATGAAACGTTAGTAGATGAATGATAGATCAACCAGTAGTGTGCAGTCTCCATTCATTTTATAATGAGACCTCACTTGCATCTTGTCGACATTTGACCCAATTCAATCCTTCAAGATTAAGTGTGTGCCGTCTTTTAAAACTTATATTGTATTTAAATATTGTTTTAGTGTTGTATAAAGCTTATTACAGTAAAGGACGTCGTTGTTCTTTCACGGTTTTTTTATCTTTCTTTTTCAAGGTGAAAGTAGCATGCGAAGGTAAAATTAATGACTTAATGTGTAGGTAGAAGCAAATTGTTGGTGTCTTTCGTACGATTTGTTAATTTATAACACTTCTTATTCCAAGTGTTAACTATATATATTTAAATGTGTATCATGCCAAAATGAGTATTAAATGTAAACTTTAACTGACATCTATTGACATTCATTGTATTGATGAAGAACTATTAATAAGCTTATATAGACGAGAGCCTTTGTAGAAACGTATTTAACGTCTTTCATATTTTGATAGCCTCCCTAAAGCCTCGGTCACAAATGCCATTACGAACTGCTACGAACGCCGTACGAACGATTTTCAGACAATGGAAATTCGGGAAGACAATGGAAAAACAGGGAGATTCGTACGAAATTATCGTTCGTACGAACCTTTGTGACCGTAGCATTAGATTACCAGCTTTGTGTTATTACATTTCATTTCAAAATGAAAATCATTATTATCTTGTGATTTCATCGTGAGAATGCACATTTTCTGAACCAAAATTACCTAATTTTCAAAGGTATTATTGAGATCACATGCTACCATGTTACTAATTTTTGCTCCATTGCATTTATTTTCTTAGTATTTTGAATGTATTTTTGTATTGTGATTTTGACATGTGTAAATTCTACATAAATATATTTGATATTATCAACGAAACCCCAGTGGAGTTGTCTTATATTTTATTTATAGGTGTAACAATATATCTCTGAACAGTTAGCAACATGATCAAGGGGAGTCACAATCCATTTCAATCACACTATCCCTTAAAACGTTTCTTCAATAATATCGACAATTAATTCGAATCAATGACTACTCTTAATCTTAACGTCATGTGGCTGTACCATGTCTCTTCATTTAAATCCGCTTGTTGTAACATGTGAATGAATAGCTCCCAATGGAACCGGTATAAGAGCAGAAGGAAGATGACAGAAAGGCAGATACTAAATATAGAAACCCGAAAGGAATACTTTTGATAACGGGCTATTCCAAGACAAATTATCACGGATTCCAGGCAATGTTCACCGTAATTTGATTTCCCACAAGACTGTTGTCAAGGTTACAAAATGTAATGAAAATCGCGGTTTAATTAAAAAGGAATTACGAAGGTGTAAGATAAACACAGTTACCCGTGGGAGAAATGGAGAAGAATATGTGTTCGGTACGATGATAGGAATAGAAATGAAGAAAGCGAGCGAGAGAGAGAGATACAGAGCTGCGTGAGTGCGGAAGAGGGTCTGAAAGTCGGATAGATGAAGGTTGAGGATGTTTATGGAGGGATGCAATAGATAATGTGGAATGAAACGGATATACATTACCTGGGGGGGGGGGGTGTCTCACAAAGATCCTAAGTTAAACTTATCTCTAAGTTGGACTTGGTATATATGGAACGCCATTAGCATCTATGAAAATATTAGTAAAAAGTTATTTAAAAGGCGTACAATTTTGATTCAAATATTTCATGTTTTATATTATCAAGGAGATTTCTTGGTCTTGATGTGGAATTTATAAAAAGTGTAAAATACTTGAATTTTCGCTTTTGAATATACTTTATTTTAAGGCTACAAAGAGCTCTCCATAATTTTTTAAGTCCAACTTAGAGTTAAGTTCGACTAAGGACCTTTGTGAAACACCCCTTGGAATATTAAAAGAAGTTTCATAAAATGTCCTACCTGTCCACTAAGGCAAGAACACATCGATCTGCTTTGTAACAACTATGATAAAACGCTCTGATTTCAAACGAACTATGTACTACTATAAAAACAGCCTCATACCAATATGAGACATAAAGAGAAAGTCAATCAGGTGTTCATGCACAATATAGCATTGACCGCAAAGATAAAATGACAAAGTCAAATTAGTAAGGTCTTCAGAATTACAGCATGCAATCTTTCAAATCTACATGTATGATAAATCATTATCGTCATATATTTCAATGTCTTAAAGAAAGCTGGAAAATCTTGACACTCGGGTGTCATTTAACCTTCTCCAAAACTAATTCATAAACATCAGGTAGCTCTTGTGGCAGTATAATTATTAACCCTTCCGCAAATGTACAATGTATTTCCCTCTCTCTGCTGTCAAAATCAACTTCTCTTTATGATTAAATACCTTGCCCCAAGATAATTGGTTATTTTACCCATCTGATGAATATAAACGATGTTTAGGCTCCAGATATTGCTTGTCCGTATTGTATTAAGGGCAAAAGGGGGAATTGAGAGGTAGAGTCATTGATTCAATCTCGATGGAACAGGGGAGACCGGGACTAAAATTATCAAATTGTTGTGTCGTATCTGATACTATTCACTCCGGGTAAATTTGTTTGTTTCGGTTTTGCATTTCTTGACTGACACAAACTGGAGTCTTCCACTTGAAGGAATTATCATTATTTGAGATACATACATTGACTCTTCAAACTCCAAAGGGACAGTGTGAGCTGACACTTGTAATTTAGTATGTTGATATCAACGGGGGTTATATAGTAGCCGCGCTCTCTCTCATATTATCTCTCATATTATCTCTCTCTCTCTCTCTCTCTCTCTCTCGACCTCTCCTCGATCTCTCTTTCCCCATTTCTCTCTCTGTTTTTCTTTATCTTTCTCTCTCTCTTTCTCTTTCTCTCTCTCGTCTCTCTCTCTCTCTATCTCTCTCTCTCTCTTTCTCTCTCTCTTGCCTCCATCTCCTTTCCCCTATTTTGTTCTCATTATTATAATTTTACATACATACATTGATTCTTCAAGGGGACAGTATTAGTTATATCACACTTGTAATTTGGTATGTTCACATCAGTGGTATAATACAGTTATGACAGACACATTCTCTCTCATATTCTCTCTCATATTCTCTCTCCTTCGCCCCTCTCTTTCTCTTTCTCTCTCTCTCTCTCTCTCTCTCTCTCTCTCTCTCTCCTCGATCTCTCTTTCCCCCATTTCTCTCTCTCTCTCTCTCTGTCTCTCTCCTCGATTTGTCTTTCCCCTATTTCTCTCTCATTATAATTTTAAGCTTTCTCTGATTATCATCTAATTCATTATTCTCACACCTCGTAGTTATTAATATTCTAATTTGACAATGTGCTATTTTTATACGACCGACTCTAGTCTTACTTGTAGGCAACGTACACTATTCACTTGTCCTTGTATTCTATACCATAAACGTTTATGTTACCTTTTGCATGAAACACACACACGGACCATGTTGAGATTCAGCGCGCAAACAAAAGCCAGCTTCGATCGGTCTTCATTTAGCGGCGTTGATAATGGGGAAATAACACCTATGAAATAGGTCTGTGATGTTTTAAGAGTATAGGATGACATTATGTATGAAATACATAATTTCAAATCTCCACATGAGAAAAAGGTTAATAGAGCCTAAATGCTGAACAAATCGAAATATGAATTCAGTAAACGACAAAAATAGGTTAAGAAGAGAAAAAGAAAAGTGAAGAAAAAAAATGTTGTGATTAGAAATAATAGAAAGAACTATATAATTTTCTTGCAGTAGCACCTGAGTCCAAGTATAGGTCTCCTCACATGCCACGGGTCAAATTGACCACTAAATCAGGGTAATGTCCATATAAAATGCTAGAAACCGGCTTTACGTCCAAATTCTACCGTATACATGTTTCTTGCTATGAAGATCGTGATACTTTTTAGTTGGTTGTCACTGCTTTACCTCATTAGTAAATATTTTTTTAATTATTATTCACATATGCCGAGTCATTCAAATCTTGGAAAATCTGTAAAGAGAGAGAGAGAGAGAGAGAGAGAGGGAGAGAGACATGAGAAAGAACGTGGAGGAGGGGGAGAAGAGAGAGAATGAGAGAGAGGGGGAGAGCGAGATTATGAGAAAGAATATGAGAGAGAATATAAGAGAGAACGCGTCTGTCATAACTGTATTATCTACCGCGGATATGAACATACCAAATTACAAGCGTGATCTAACACTGTCCCCTTGAAGAGTCAATGTATGTATGTAAAATAAAAAAATAACGAGAGAGAAATGGGTAAAGGAGATGGAGGAGAGAGAGAGAGAGAGAGAGAGAAAGAGAAAGAGAGAGAGACAGAGAAAGATAAAGAGAGAGAGAGAGTGAGTGAGTGAGAAAGATAGATAGAGAAAGAGAAGGAGAGAAAAGGATAATAATGATAGAGAATAAGAGAGCCTATGCGTCTGTACTGTAACTGTGCTATCTACTACTGATGTGAACATACCAAATTACAAGCGTGATATAACACTGTCCCATTGGAGAGGCAATGTAAATGTATATATCTAAAATGAAAATAATAAGAGAGAAATGGGGAAAGACAGATGATGGAGAGTGAATTGGGGAAAGAGAAATCGAGGAGAAAGAGAGAGACAGAGAGAGAGAGAGAGAGAGAGAGAAATGTGGGAAGAAAGATCGGGAGAGAAAAGAATAGGGTGAAGAGAGAGACTGAGAGAGGGAGAGAGAGAGAGAGAGAGAGACTGAGAGAGAGAGAGAGAGACTGAGAGAGAGAGAGAGAGAGAGAGAGAGAGACTGAGAGAGAGAGAGAGAGAGAGACTGAGAGAGAGAGAGAGAGAGAGACCGAGAGAGAGAGAGAGAGAGAGATAATGTGATAGAGAATAAGAGAGCCTACACGTCTGTCATAACTGTGCTATCGCGGATATCTACCGCGGATATGAACATACCAACGACAAAGAAGAGTCAATGTATGTATGAAAAATAATAATAATTAGGAATAAATCCTCGTGACAGTTTGGACATTTTCCTTATTATTCTTTCAACTGTATAGGCCTAAATTGACAAAACTAATAACCAGCAAATGTAAAACAAAGATACAAAAATCGAAGTATTATTATTCCCATGACCCATCACATAATCAACGTAATAAAAAAACATATGATTTGCCGCAGTCTTGATAATCACACTAAATTTAAAGCGTTGTAGCTAGTCTGTATTGACGTAGGATTTAATAGTCTAAACGGAATTTTAGAAGCAGGTATTTTATTCCTCGAAGAAGATCTATGATTACTATGAGTTACGCCAGAGGATAACTTGTTTGGTAAGCCGGTGAGATCATGTTTCATTTGCATGACATTTATGATCTATTCAAGCGACTAGGATTGAATTTCATTTGTATAAGCATCTTCTAGAGGGAACTAGGCCGCCGGGACTACCCTGTTATTGTATATAAAAGTAAAAATAGACTTTCTCCCCTGATAATGAAGGCTGTATGAGAGTGGTTATCGAGATCAGTATATATCATTGGAGTTACGACGTTTATATTTCTTTCATACAGCCCAATAAT